ATCATGGTCAACCCAAACCAGCTCCGCACATTGAAGCTCTCAGAACCTTACGTACTCATTCAAATGAAAATTCCTCAACTGGTGTCTCCGTTTGCAGGGCCAATCATTCTGGAGTGAAGTGTGCAATACCGTATTAGTCAGGGTTTTCTGACAAAACAGAACTGATCATATATATATATATATATGAATGAAATGTAAGTTTGCAGGATAGAGTCTTATGAAATGTTAGCTTGCAGGATAGAGTTTGAGTAGTCCAACAATGGCTTCACCACATTGGATAGTCTGAGAATCCAGAAGTTGTCCAGTCCACAAGGCTGGAAGTCTCAGCAGTCCCAATTTAGTGCTGAATGCCTGATGGAGTCCTGGAGATCTGCTGGTCTTCAGTCTACTTTGGAGGAATTCCAAGAAGTTGGGCACAGCAGCCAGACCAACTCACCAGTGAGAGAAGGCAAGCAGGGACAAAAGCAAATGCTTCCTTCTGCCGTGGCCTTTTATAATGCTCACATTTAAGGTGGGTCTTCCACCTTCAAATGATTCAATCAATAAGTTACCTCTCATTGCAGTTAATCCCAGATCCAGTAAAGCTGACACTCAGGAACAGCCATCAGGGGAAATTTTTCCTATTCTGCTCTGTGAAATGCCTGTGTGAAAGTGCTTTCCTTCCTCCACTTTATAAATTACTTTCAACCATTGAACTATGAGAATTAAACAAGTGTCCTTGTAGTTACTAGTAAATTATCCTACCTAAATGTTTTAAAAATGATTTTTTGTAAGTATGGGACTAAGCTGGAAGTTAGTCATGGTCTTCCATTGCTCTCAAGACGAGCTTGCCTAAAAAGAATATCTGTTAATATCTCATGGAAAGATCTTTAGGATATATAGAAAGTCACTATGGTATTTATGAAAAGAATAACTTTCTGTGCTGAATCTTAGGAGTGGTTTCAGATTCTCCAACTCCCTTGCATTCAAGAGTACTTATTAAAAATTCCAAAATGGAGCTTGTGAGATGGTTCAGTAGGTAAATATTCAACACCATTTCTGAAAATGTACAATTCATTCCTGGGGTCCAAAGAGCAGTAGCACATCCTACAATTTTTTCTGTAACTATCCTATGCTCACCATCGTGTGCTTACACCTAAACACACACAGAATAAAAAATAATAGCTGAGACAAGCAAACAATCCCACCACATCACGAAGAGTGTGAGACTCTGAAGTCCTTTGGATCAAATCTCCCTTCTCCTTTTCCAGTGGATCAAATGCGCATTGAGTTCTTCTATGGTCCTCTGGGCTCCTTC